AAGCTTGTCTGGCTCAGGGGCACTCGCCCGCAGATGTGCTTGTTTTAGAGAGATGGCTCCGCCCCAATACCGCTTGAGGATCGTCGTGCTGTTGCACACCTAAGTTCAGTGAAGCCCCCGACCGAGAGCTCTGCATCGCTCGGTGGGCTCTGGCAGATTACAATCCGCTACCCAACAGGAGGAATTGGTCTTCTTGGGACTCCAAGGCGATGTCTTGGCTCTGGAAGAAAGCAGATCGCGTCGAAATTCTAGATGTCGACAGGAACCTGGGCGACGGATTGTTCGACGCTAATTGGGTGCACGGGGACTGTTTCAGGCTCTTGGGAGAAGCGGCCACGCCTATTACACGGGCATTTTTCCAAGACGTGGTCAGAGATGCTCACGTTCTCCTCCAACTTGCTATCGACCACATATCCGCAGCCGTTTCCGCCAGAGTCGAGTTGAAGAGCGTCGCCGCTTTTCTTGCGGACGCCATGCGGAATACTGAGCCTGGCAAGTTCCGCCTTCGACCGAAGGTCCACAAATGGCCGGTCAAGGGTAGATCAATCATGAATCTCACAGGGTCTTTGAGCCAAGGGGCTTCAGACGTCCTATGTGGAATCCTAGCAAGCACTTGGTGAACTGTTGGAGGTCCAAAAACAGAGAAGATGTCGTAACGCTGGGCTGCCTGCACCTCCGGCTCGTCTTGTTCAACATGGTTGTACAGCATTCGGATATGCTGTATTGGGTGCGGACTGGGATATTCACCGGGCCTTCGGCAGGAGTGATGATTGCAAACGTCTACCTTCACGATTCTGATTGTGATGTAATTCGCTTTCTGGGGGCTCAACTCTGGAACAGATTTGTGGACGACGGTCTCCTGATCTCAACCAACGCCGTCAATCAGGCCGTCCACGCGTGCCTCAACAGCCACCATCGTGATATCAAATGGGACACGCCTGTATCTGGGAGGAGATGCCTACCATTTCTTGACGTTCAGCTTTCCATGGACTTCGGGAGAATGAGATGGGACATCTACGTGAAGCCCGTGTGCAAGTTTCTGTGCGTACCATAACAGTCTGCACGCCCTAGCCACATGTTCGCTTCTGTTCTTTTTTCCACCGCTTCGCGAATAGCTCGGCGCTGCTCGCAAGCGGCAGACCTCAACCGCCACCTTCGATTGTAGGATTCGCTTCCGCAACCGGGGATATTCTGGTTGGCTCAGCTCGGAACAATTCGGTAGGGCCCTCAGGTGTTGTCAGCAGAAAAGAACCCACGAACTGGTCGGCACGAGCGTGAAGGCACAGGCAAGCGTCGTGTACATAGATTAGTCGTCGCCCACAGCATTACCCTAAACGCGAGTTTCCTTCGCAACCACGTGCTGTCTTCTTTCAACGGCCGCGGCAATATCGCTTTCGCCAGGCGTTTGCAACGCAGCCTATCCAGAAAGTTCTACGCGTTTCACTGGCAGGAGGGCGGGTGGTAAAAGTCCACAAGGGACTTGGGGCGCCAGTTTTTCGGAAGCAGGTTCGACTTCCCAAGGCGCGCAGTTCATATCAGGCCAACTCAGACGGAAGTCAGCAGAGGACGCCCAACTGGGGCCAGATTCGATGGGGGTCGGTAGCATCGAATCCGTCTGATGCTAGTGCCGCCCAACTGGGGCCAGATTCGATGGGGGTCGGATTCGATGGGGCGGTCGGCAGCACTATTCGATCGAATGCATAGCGCCGAGGACGGCAGCATCAGACGCAGTCAGCCAAGGGGGGCGTTCACTCCATGTTTGCCCCTGCCTTTGGCACGTGCCCGCGCTCTCTCCTCTCCGCAGCTTGGAGTGGCTCGGGCCCGAGCCCGACGGGGGCGGCGGTGCCACCCGGTTTTGCTGGCACAGCGTTTGAGAACACAGCCATCTCGGAGCGAGGCAGGCCCTCTCGAGCAGCTTGGCACCCGAAACGCTGACGCGGGCTTTCTCCGGTGCGTCCACCGCCTCCCACGCCCGTGCGCGAGGCTTCGTTGCCGTGCGAGGCGCCCCCGTGTCCATGCCATCCGCTGTGGCGGCGGGCCCTCGTTGCAGTGCAGGGCTCACGGCCCAGAAGGGCGTGCGGCAGGTCTCGGTTCTCGCTTTTCTCCTGCCCCCCTCTCCCTCCCCCCCGTGGCGGTTCCCCTGCTCCGCTTGTGCCGTTGCGCGCTCCTTCCCCCGCGTGTCCCGTCTGGCGCTGATCCGCTGCGCCTTTGCGGCTGCTGCTGCTGCTGCTGCTGCTGCTGCTGCTGCTGCTGCTGCTTGTTGGCTAGGCCGTCCGCTTGGCTGCGGGTTGCCAGCGGGTCTCGCGGAGGTTGGGCGGGTCCACGCTTCCGCTCGCGTGCGCGCCAGCGGGGGGGGGGCAAGCAGCCGCCCGGCCGAGCACCCCTCCGCAGCCCCGTACCGCCCCTCGTGCTTCTCTCGCGTGTCCTGCTCTGTTGCTGCCTCCCCCTCCCCCCCAAGTGGGCAGGTGCCCCCAGTTGTCGGCGTGGACCAGTTTGACAAGCGAATTTGGTGGTGTTCGCGCCTGCTCTGGGGGAAAAGATCAACTCCTCCACTTCCTCCTCCAGGACCCGTGTCTCTTTATGACCGTCTGGTCCTCCTCAACTTCCTCCTCCTCCTCCTGCTGCTGCTGTTGCTCTTCCTCCTCCTCCTCCTCCTCCTCCTCCTCCGTCTGCTCTTGCAGGGGGATGCAAACTGCCTGAGTGCATCAGAGCAGCGCGTTCGCGCTTTCGGCATCCCCCTGAGTTGTCCGCCGCCCTCCGCGAGGACCTTGCCCCCAGGGGTGTCCGCGACTGGATTGGGCTAGCCGAATCACAGTCGGCTGCGCTCGGTCGGGCCGTCTCGGTCGGATACGGCGCCGCTGGACTTTCCTGACTCTGCTCCTGGTCTGGTGGTTTCGATCGGTTGTGTGTGTGTGTGTATGTGTGTGTGTGTGTGTGTGTGTCTCACCGCCGGCCCGCTCGGGTCTCAGCCTTGCCGTCGCCGTGGGCGCGTATCCCCCCCTCGCTGCGACCGCTCGCGAACCCTGCTCCTACGGGTCCAACCGCCGCTGGGCCATCAGACGCCCCCGCCTGGATCCGCTTGGCTGCAGGCCTCCCCCGAGTTCTGAGAACTGGGCTGGCCTGCCAGAAGCTTGATTTGCCAGGGTAATTCTTTACGCTTCGCGTATCCCCACCAGCCCATCTCACAGCAGCAACTCTTGCGAAGCATGCCGACAGTTGTGTTTTTCAGGCGTGTGTCCGCTGGGCCCCGCATATCTCCCCTGTTCCTCCTTCCTCCCGCCTCCTTGTGAATCCTCCTTGTGGGGGGAGCGGGAGAAGGACGAGGCGGAGGAGGAGGGAGAGAAAGCGCTCCTCGTGATTTGAGTCGTTTGGGGTTTCTCGTCCTGGTGTGAGTCGTTCGGGCCCTTCTTCCTGGTGTGAGTCGTTCGGGCTCTTCGTGGTGTGAGTCGTTCGGGCTCTTCGTCCTGGTGTGAGTCGTTCGGGCTTCTCGTGGTGTGAGTTGTTCGGGCCCCTCATCCTGGTGTGAGTCGTTCGGGCCCCTCCTCCTGGTGTGACTCGTTCGGGCTCCTCGTGGTGTGAGTCGTTCGGGGCCCGCGTCGTGGTGTGAGTCGTTCGGGCTCCTCGTGGTGTGAGTCGTTCGGGCGCCTCGTCCTGGTGTGAGTCGTTCGGGCCCCTCCTTGTGGTGTGAGTCGTTCGGGCTCTTCGTGGTGTGAGTCGTTCGGGCTCCCGTCGGGCCTCGTCCTGGTGTGAGTCGTTCGGGCTCCTCGTGGGGCCTCTTGGGGGCCTCTTGGAGCCTCTTGGGGCCTCTTGGGGGCCTCTTGGGGGCCTCTTGGGGGCCTCTTGGGGGCCTCTTGGGGCCTCTTGGGGCCTCTTGGGGGCCTCTTGGGGGCCTCTTGGAGGCCTCTTGGGAGCCTCCTGGGGGCCTCTTGGGGCCATCTTGGGGCCTCTTGCGACCTCCTCAGAAGCGCAGATGAGCGCTGCCCCCTGAGAAGGGCAAAATGAGCCCAAGACCTTCGTAACATCAAGGATTTTGCTATGAGGGAAGATGAGCGCGGCCCCCTCAGAAGGCCAAAATGGGGCCAAAACCCTAGTAACATCAAAGTTTTTGGCTTCAAAGACGAGCTGAGGCGCTAAACTCCCTCCCCCCCCCCGGGGCGAGAATCCTCGTGAGGGTCGTCGTTTTTTGGCCCTCCCAGGAGTCGAAAAAGACCCCTCCAACCACCCGCGGGGCGCCCTCTCCAGGCCCAGGGGGAGGGGGTAGGGGGAGGGGTAAACCCCTCCCCGAAGGGGAAGAAGGGGGGTTGAGGACAGAGAAGGCTCTCTAAACCACTCACGCCCAAAGGGCTGCCCCGAGTTCTGAGAACTGGGCTGGCCTGCCAGAAGCTTGATTTGCCAGGGTAATTAGGGCTCACACGTGATTGGCTACCCTTGCCACCCCACTCCGCTGCCACAATCACCAGGGCCGTTGGTGCTGGTGGCCGCGGCGCGCGTCGGCTGCCACGATCGTCCTCGCGGGGGGGGCCTCCTCCTCCTCCTCCTCCTCCTCCTCCTCCTCCTCCTCCTCCTCCTCCTCCTCCTCCTCCTCCTCCTCCGGGGGCGGCGGGTCACCGCACGGCCTTCCTCCCGAGGGGGTCCCCCCGCGGCCCCGTCGGCGCGCGAGGCAGGGGAGTCCTGCGGGCGCCGCCGCGCCTGCGGGGGCAGCCGCGGGCCGGGCCAGGGGCAGCGCTCGGGGGGGATGTGGGCTCGGGGGGGGAACGCATCGATCCCCAGTCGCCCACTGATCGTCGATCAAGGTCTGATATTTTCCCACCCCGCCCAGGAGCGTGCGGATTCGCTGTCGGAGGCTTATCGCCGACGTGTCGGCGGTGCATCGCCGATGCAAGCTGGATGTTCCCCCCCTTGCGTCGGCCCCCCCCTCCCTTATCGTTGCCCCTCACTGGGAAGTCGGGCCATCAGAGCATCGGCCGTCAGACAGTTTTCTCGGATCCCCGACCAGCCAGGACGCCCTGCGCGCGGCCGTGGTGGACGCTCACGTCTCCAAGCCGGCCGCTGGCGAGGAG